TTTTAACTAGATGCTGATAACAGTAGAATTATTTTGATAAGATTAAATAAAAGTTTAATGGATTATTATTCTGAAATAGTCTGTTTATGATGAATGTCCTATTAAAAACAGTAGTGTTAATGTTAAAAGTTATCTGGTAATAAGCTTTACTACTATAGAAATCTTAAGTGGTTTCTATTTTACTTTTATTAAAAATTTTTCAGATGGATACTTTTCACACAAGTTTTCACAGGACAAAACTATATTTAGAAAAAATTTCTATTTTGCTTTTGTATCTGCACATCTGGAATACAGAGGATGTTTACCTTTATTTTGACTCACTTTTATAATAGACATTATACATGCATTTTTTGACTATGGATTGACTTCAGTTGTTCTATAAGTTCCCAATGTCTTTGGCTAACAGTATGTAATCTTGTTTTCCTTGCCTGCTTGCACTTATCAGGCGAAATCACTCTCCTGGAAGGTCTATGGCTTTCCATAGACCTTCCATCATATGGGCTTTACTCAAACAGTTGCTACTTCAGTTGTCAAACCTGAAAAATCTAAGGGACTTGTGTCAGGGGACTTAACTGAAATTTTTTTGTTGGTAATAAATTAATCCTGAATTTCTTGTGATCATATTGGAAATATTGCTGTGTTAATGCTGCAGTATGGAAAGAGGCTTGGTCATGATGGAAAAATACTTTACTTAGCTTACCAGGATATAGTTCAGGAACATAGACTTCAACAATTGGTTTTAGAACACTATCAATGTAAACCTGTACATTGATCTTGTTCTGGTTTTTCAGAGCTTTCATTATGACTTTGGATGAATATCCTTCTTTGGAAAGGCCAATAATCTGACACTTCAACTCTAAATTCAGTGTTATCTGCAGCATTTTTTTGCTTCACAAACACACATACACAATTGAAAGAGCAGACAACAATCTATCATAAAAATGTCAGTTCAATTAATGACTGCATGTGCATAATTACACTAGGCATAAATTCCAAAAATGAGTCAAATAATGATGAACATCCTCCATACATACTAAAATAGAATGTAAATTTCTTGATATAAAGTTTTGCTCTGTGGAAATCTTCTCTGTAAGAAGAATTTTTATAACTAGTTAAGCATGAACTAGTAAAGAAATTTACAAATTGTTTCTATATCCATGAAGGCTTTTTCAATCAGAGATGGGGAACCTGTAGCTTTCAAACCATATGTGGCCTTTTTGGCTCTTAGTACAACTGTATACAATTTTATAAGTTTAATTTTGAGTTATAAAAGTATATTTTTTGTGCATATAAAGTGAATGTATACATTTACCGCCTATCTTCTCCATATTGCAACCTGCTGTACATGTACGGCTTTACGAGATCCTTCCAAAATGGAATGCAGTCTTCCAATTAGAGTTCCTCACCTCTGCTCTAAGTTTTCAAAATCTATTTATTACTTTATTGTTAGTTATTTTATAGTATTATATGTGATAATTTATATATTAGTTAATATAAATGTTTGCAATTATTTATTTTCAAAAAATAAGCAGTTTCAAACACAAATCAGTAAATAACTTCTTGTCATTGATTTATTCTGCAAATTTTTAGAATATTCTAAGAAATAATTAAAAATTTTAATAAATTAAAAATTGTTATAATTAATTTTCTTTTAATTTTATTTATAAATTGTGTTGTAACAATGTTGTAATACTGTATGTGATGTGCTTGTGAGTGTTAATTGTCTAGTCTAAACAACTCGTAAGTACTTGTACACTCATGGGTTCAGTTTCAATGGAGTTTCTTCTTTCTTAGACAATATTTTATTTTAAATGACTATTTTTATTCTTTTATTTTTGTTTTATCAGTTAATTATATTTAGTTAAATAATTATACTNTTTTAAATTTAAATAGGAATATGACAATACACTATATAATAAAAAAAATTTTTTAAAGTATTCTACTTAAACCAATCATAAAAATATTTTTGAAAATGAACATGAAAATCTGTAATTTTATTGAATATTGTTCATGTGAAATTTGTCTAACTTTGTGCATTGTCTTTAATTTATTTAAATTTTTTTACTGTTACAATGCATATTATGTTTAGTAATTGAGCATAAAAATTATTTAATTTCATTTAATTATTCTTAGTTTTTTAAATAAACTCAAGCTAAGATAAAACTAATTTCTTTACTTCTTAATAATGTTGATACAGTAAATATTTTTGTATATGAACTGAAGATTTAATTGACACTAATTGAACTAGAGTTTTTATGATATATATTTAAAAGTTTTGAGTTTTGATTTAATTTTAATAAATTTAAGTTGTTTTTTTAATATCACATGCTTGAAAGTTTGAAAGAAACCTTTTTTTTTTCTAATTTATTTTCTAACTTGAACAATTTTAATTTACTGTCTGATAATCATTTGTGCTAACTGAAAGCTGGGAAGAGTAGTAATAAATGTGAACAATTGTTTTTTTCTTTTTCTTCTTAAATTTCTGACATTTTAAATTTATTTATCTGGATAACCAAATAAAAGGTAGAAAATAATTTCAGCTACTGTTATTGAATTCAAATGTTAAAAGCATTAAACATAAAAATTATTAATTAAATATCAAACAGTTTTACATGTTCAGTATCTTCACACATTTTGCTTTCTTAAAAAAATATTCTTTATTTATTTACTCTTAATATTTTGAACTTAATTAAATTTTTGTCTCCTGTATATGTAACTTTATCTGTTCTGTGGCATTAAAAGAGCCTTTATAAACATTCATTGTTGTTTTGGCAAGGTCTGCAAGAGAACAGTTGAGTGACAGATAGAGCTCAATAAACAGTATTTGGGCCAAACCATCCATGAAAATTCCTTTGAATCTAGCCCAGATTTGAACTCTGATTCTTTGGAACCTGCCTCTCCAAATCCTTAACCACGTTGGCCATTTGACTGGCACTATTTTACATTTAATGAAGTTGAGTTGGAAATTATAATTTAGAATGATCTATAACAACAAACACAGAACCAATTTCCAGTGCATATAAACAAAAAATTATCTCTGCACAAAAGTTTTATAACTCCTCCTGAATTCTCCTTTAGGTATGACAGAACAGCTACCAATAGAACATCCTTCAGAACAAACGTAAATTTATAAAAGTTTTTAAAAAAAATAATTTAAACGACCATTCAAACTATAAATATAAATTTAAAGTTATGCATGCATTGTCCTGTGCATAATGATTAATTAACTAACAACTACACTGTTGTGTCAAGCAGAGCCTGCCAGGCCATCGACAACACCATTGTCTCCTTAGAATTTATACAAGATGATGCAAAATTAGTTTTAAAAATTTCTATGGCCTTCAACCATCTATTGTAATAATCTATGATCTGTTGTAATAATTTTTTTTAATGATGATATTAAGACTAACTGTAATATTAATAATTCCAAAATTTTATTACTTAATGAATGAAGACAATAAGTCATAGGCAAAACAAGTATTGTTAGCTTTCAACTGCATTTTAGTATCTCAGAATTGAAATCTGTAATCTTATTATTTTATTAAGTATTGTTGAAGCTGATTTTATTTTAAAGAATATCAATATGGATGTGTATGGTAAAAACTGTTTGGATCAATTTAGATAACTGTCAAAATTGAGTAATTGCATTTCATTGATTTATCTTTCAAATAAATTGCAAATAATTTCAAACTTAAAATTATTATATTTCAAATTACTGAAGTGAAATTGACAAGGAAAACCTGTTTGTTTATATACAAAATTATTAAAAAGTGACAAAAGAAAAAATTGAGACATTATCGAGAAATTGTTTATTAATATTTTTATTCCTAAATACAACATAGTCAATAATTATAACCTTTTATATCAGAAAATATTGTATTTAATATATGAGCTTGAATTAAACATGTTTTAACATCACATTTAAGCTGATAAAATATAACAATCTCTGATGATTAAGATGTTACAATTGTAATATTAATTACAGCTTTTATTCTATACATAACTTGTATATAACGTTGAACATATGAATGTAATATATGTAATGTAAAAAATGCTTATTGAATAAATAGTAAACGAAGATAGCATAGAATTATAGAAGAGAATTATTTTGATGCAGTAATAAATCCACTGCATCTCTGAATTAACAAATTAAAGGTTTTTGCATGTAAATCAGTTAGCCTAAAATATTAATAAATAAATAAACTGGTTTTTTAAGAAAGCAAGATATGTGAGGATGGTGCCTAAGGTGTGCTTATGCTTAATTGGTGCACTAGACATTTATGGATAAATGTATAGTAAAATTGAAGCTTTTAAATAGCTCTTTCCATCTGAAAAACCTATGATTTTCAGATAGTATATACAAAATTATTTCATAGGATTTTAGCAACATCTATCCAAAAAATATTTTAAATTTAAATAGGAATATGACAATACACTATATAATAAAAAAAATTTTTTAAAGTATTCTACTTAAACCAATCATAAAAATATTTTTGAAAATGATCCATAAATAAAGTGAACTCCTTAAATAAAATCAGGATCTTCCCAAATTCAACATGACGTATTCAGTGACGGGTTTATCACAGTGGCTCTCCTCCAGAAAACGACTGGACCCAGAAGTGGCAAGTATCTACAATTATGTGTACCAATATAGACTCAAATCACAATATATGTTTTGAAACACACACTTTATAGATATATATTAATGTAAATGGTGGTTCAGTAGTTATTTTTTTATGGTTTATTTTTAATAATGAAATTATCTCTTGCTGGAAAATCTTGTGATTTGGGTCTAAAAGATATTTAATTTTAATAACAGACTAAAACAAATACATGAAAACGTATTCTCATTCAATCAAATCCAATAACAGTTCTTTTAACTGCATGTTGCATGTATAGATGTTTTTAACATTTGGTGTTTGCATATTTTAAAATATTATTTTTACAATAGAATTAATATTGTAATCTGTATCTTCCATTTAAAAGTCTTATAATTACAGGCTTACTGAAACGGCTAGGCTTCTCAAGAATGTGTTCAGGAGACCTTCAACTCATGTTTCACAGGTGCCTCTTGAAATGGAACTTCAACGTACGTAATTTCTTTTATATATCCAAAGAATTGTAACCATTAATAAAACAAGATTTAAACATTTTTTTAATATTACGTTTAAATGTTTTTTAAATATATTTCAGTTATGTAATGATGATTATTGCATATTTAACTTCGGTTTGTCCAGATTATGTCTATAAATATACAATAATAATAGATATCAATAATTAAATTTAAGTATGTTTTTAAAAATGTTACATTTAAATGTTTTGGTAGCTATTTATTCTGATTGTATTTAATTGTATATACCAGGGGTCGCCAAACTTTTTTGATCATCGACCCCCTACAACTTTTTGAAACCTCACATCGACCCCCACCAAAAAGTTTGTGTTACAAGCAAAAAAAGCTTTTACTATTTTAATATATATCTTTTAATTTTACATTTTTACATTTATTGTACATATGTTAATAATAATTTTTATAACTGACAATCAATGAGAAGGATAAGGTTGATAATCCTTGGCAAGATTAGCAATATTCAGTTCAAAATGTAAGTTTTAGTCTTTTCATCGACTCCCAATAATTTCATATCAACCCCTGGGGATTGATATAGACCACTTTGGCGAACCCTTGTGTTTTTCATAAGTTGTGTGTCATAGGGGATTGTAGGCAAAGCATCAGGGACAAGTATGCAGTGTACTGGTTATTATTGGTGAAATTAATTTAAATAGCAATGTGGGAAAGATACTATTTCCTTTTTTCAGTATACACCACAGTTGAATTTAAATCAAATTAATTAATAAAAACTGCATTAATTGACATTCACAGAATGGCATTCAAGAATTTGTGTTTAAATATACTTAAGTTAAATTAAATGGCAAAAATTTATTAATATTATATTATATATTATAATATTAATATTTAACATTTATTAATACTAGGTAGTAAGTTAATTAACTAAAACTAATAATTAAATTTAAAAATAATAAAATAATAATAAAAACTGGCCTTTACATTAAAAATAAAATTAATTAATTAGAATTACAATTGAAAATCAAATCAATTGAAACACAATATTTTGGAAAGTGTGGATAAAATACTTGTTCCTCTTGATAGATTTGGTTATATTTCATGCAGGCAAAGTTGAGTCTCTATTTTTAGCACTTCTTTGTAAAGTGTTGGTTTTGGTTAGCAGTGACAGAACATTTTGCTTTTAATATATGTATATAGAATAAATATAGGTATAGATATAGATAAAATAATAATAATACAATATATATATATTATAATTATTATATTGCCTTTATAGACATTTTATGCATGAATTAAGCTAAAAAAGTAAAAAAAAAAAAAAACCACTATATAATAAATCAATAATAATTATGGAATATACCACTCAAATAATTTTAGGATGTTTAATAGAATCTTTAATTTAGATAAAGAAATATACTTATAACCTATATTTTGGACATGGTTTACGTTTACAATTTTGAAGTTTTTTAAAATATGTATATTTCTCTGTTACTTAAAATATGCTTATTGTTCTGTGAATTAAATTTCTTTGCTTAGATTATGTTAATTAGTTCAAAGTTATTCCAATTAATTTATATTTATTTTCTTTTTAATTATTTACTAGAATCTTTTTCTGTACTGCTTATGTGCACATTAGAATATAATTTGTCGTTAAAAATTTTTTTCTATACATTCAAATTTCTTGAATAGGCATTTTAGATATTCAAACAATCTGAAGGAGTACAATTAATATCTCTCATTTATGCAATATTCTTAAATATTTCAAAATAATAATCTAAATACTGCCAACTTGTAATGAAAGGACTAGTGAAATTTACACTGTATTGGAGATATTGAATTAGATTTATACACATTTTAATTTAATGCTTGCAATTTATATAATTCTTACCTGCTGTTAAAATAGTAATACTATATTGATTCAGTTTACTATGAAAAACTCAGTCGTACTAAAGAGATATATGGTAAATCAAAATAAATACTGGATTACAATAGAAAGACAATTAAAATGGTATCTATAATGTACATAATTAAATATTATATTCTTTCTCCTACTATTTAGCCCAAAATGTTATATATATAAGAATTTATTGTGATTCCATTGAAAGAAATATTTATCTTTTTTAGAAATTATTTTAAAAAGATGATATATATATTCTCAATGCATTCAATGGTGATTTCTCAATATTTCAAATGTCTATATTATCTTTGCTTTCAAAATTCCTGTTGAAATTTTTTTATAAATATATAAAATCTATTCTAACAGTACTTTTGCATTAATTTATTTATCATATTTTATTATTAAAAAATAAAAAATAACATAAAAATAATCTTTTACTTCATATTTAGAGTATGGAATTCATAAACATGATGAAACTCAAATATTTTCAACAAGATTGTATTCTACCGAAGAACGTAAGTTTTGTATGTTGAATAAACCAAATCTAAAAGCTTTTAATGAAAGAAAATTTTATTCCATTTTTTCGTAAAATTTTTAAATGAATTTATTTAGATTCAGTTTGGAAACTTTGGTTGCTGATTTTTATAATTATGATTATGTAAATATGCTAAATGTTTTAACAGTTGGCTTTTTGTTATTGATGTCGGGATTGTGCACTTTGTTGATTTAGTAGCTTAAGTAGTAGACATTCATTGAATGCAACCGAACTGAGACAGACAACATAAATGGTTATGATATTCACTATAAATCCTATGTTTGCAATTCTTCTAAAATCTATATTTTGTTTTATAAACTTTTACATATGTAATACATTGCATGATTTGGAATCAGGAATTTCTTTTAAGTTGAATGTTTGATGATTAACNTTGATGGAAGTTGGAGGAATCGTTAGTAAATACTTATAAGCCTGCTTTAGTTATAGCTCCGAGGACACGGGGAGGTTGGAAGAAAACAGTCCAGTTGACACAGATCGGGATTGTAGGAGTAAAGGCTGCAATCCCGATTGTTTCGATCATTGTAAGCATGTCTTTCTAAAAATAAACGCGTTAATTTTGTAAATTCAGTCTTAGCGTCCAGCAAACCACTACCCCCATATGTAAAAAGACTTTCTCGCATCATCATGACAGATCGCGGGCAAGGCGAGGGTCATAACCTTTTCACCTAAGGTCGACCCCCCCTAAGCGAGAAGCGTTGGGTCTATATTAACCACACTGGCAAAACAAGATGGCTGACATATTGACAGATAAAACGCACTGATGTGCTCTCGACTGCGCCAGAAAATCGATTGGCGCCTGGGAAAATTCAAAAATACAAAAAGGAAGTATATTACCAAGTAACCCAGTGAAAACTGCTCGCCTATCATTTTAGTTCAAAATACAAGAAGTTTTATTCCAAGCAAGCCCGCTAGGTTAATTTCTGCTGCTTGCTTGGAATAAAATTTCTTGTATTTTATATTAAAATGATAGGCAAGCAATTCTGTTAAAAGCACTGGCACTGAACGTTTCGCTTCATGCAGTCTGTTTTGCAACTTTTTTAAAAATGATGTCAATCCCGAAAATCTCAGGATTAGGAAAACTTAATCCTGAAAATTTTGGGACTGAAAAGTGGTAGAGATCCTGGGATCAAATTCTCTAATTTTAAGAGACGGGATCCAATATATTTACATCAATTACCTTTGAAAATATCAGTCTATCCGGACCCAAATTCAGGTCCTCTTAGAGTGATAGATTAGAGCCATTCAGCTAACAGCACAACACAATTTTATAAAAATTGTTTATCTATTAATATACTTATTCTTATTCTTTTTCAGTCTGAAATGATCCGTGCCTACGACACAACAAAGAGCAAACCACAAGGGGTGTGAACGGTCCGAAGATGTTACCATAGGAAAAACGTGTCCCTTTTTTTGGTCATAGGGAATCTTTTTATGCATTCCATTTTGCAATCTTACGATCTGATTGTTATGAGTGTTCGAAAGGTTTCGGATATAGGGTACAAAGTGTTGTTGTTATGTGGCAACTTCTCGGTGCCATTGCCATATGTCAATGTACCTGTACCTCTGTGATAATGTACCTCCATTATTTCGGTGTGACGAGACGATACAGTAACTGCCCTCAGACAACCTTGAAGCTGTCTTCTGGAAGCGTCGTAAAAAACAAATATATATATATTCTTTGTGTTTAAAGTGAAAAAAACGAGCACTTTTTTGATATCACAAAATTGTTCTGTTAACGGAGATTTTAAAATGGTTTGTCAAAATTCGGTTAAAAATAAGGAAAACAAACGAACAGAAAAAAGTCCTTATGCACAGGCGATTTTCACGTTATAGGCGAATTCCAAGTTCTGGCACCACACCACGTTATAAAGAATTTAAAAAAAAAACTGCCGATTAGTTCTTTGATATTGCTGCGATTTTTTGTAATTTATTTAAATAGGATCGCAACTAAAACACTAATAATTTGCGTTTTTCTAGTCACATATGGCGTTTGTTGTTTTTAGTGTTATATACGTTAATGCATTGCGTGTTTCGTTGTGTTTATCTGTTGTGATTTTTCACTTCATCGTTTTTCCATCAGAGGAAGCTTTTACTCTTTCAGAATTTAGAGATGAGGAAGTAAATAAAAATAAAATCTAAAAAAATAGATCCTAGAATGTCAATAAATGTCGGTTCGAATGTTAAACATTTATAAATTCTTTGATATCTCGGTAGTTGGTATTTTTATATTTATCTTTCCGTAAAGTGGCAAATTTCTGTCGTTCACCACATATTCGGTTCTCTGTTGAGAATCGGGAAAAAAGTTTAGATGTAGTTGTTTGTTACATTTGAATTCGAGGGAAAAAAATGTTAAACGAATTGTCATTTTTTGATAAATGATTGTTAAATGTTTAATTTCCAACACGATCAACATTGTAGCTCCGTTTATTATATTTTGGGTTCGGGAAGTAGTAGGAAATTTTTATAAAAATAAAGAAAAGTATCGACTATCTGCATTTGTCTTTAATATAATTTGATTTTATAATTAGTGGTAATTGTTTGTATCTTAGTATATTTATATGTAAAGAAATTCATACTTTTTTTTATTAAAAAATTGCAATTTTTTCCTCCAATTGATTTCATAAAAAAATTAAATTAATGTATTTTGTTTATAGATGGTTATGCATTTTCTCAAGAAGAGCATGGCGTTGTTCCGCAGGTAAGTCTTCATCTTTTTTTCTATATTAAGTACTTTTATGTCATAAATTTCTAAAATGTCAAATATAAGCTAAACAGTAATATTTTCTGTTATTTTATTCAATTTTATACTGTAAACAAACACAAGAAAAAGACATCAACAAATTTGCACATATTCAGATGGGAACTTGTTTGTTCCTCTGTAATAATGATGCATTTACCATTCCGTAAAATAAAAAATATGCATGTACAGTGAAACCCATACAACACGGGATGCATTCCATGTTATAGGAAGCTGCCTTATATGAAACATGTATTATGTATGAGGTATTAACTCTCACAGTTAATATATATAACACACATTATTCTTACAATGTGGTTTCTTATAACATGGAACACACCTCCGTGTTGTATGGGTTCACTGTATTTATCTTTATCGAAGTTCCAAAATTTAGAAAACATATGGAAAATTTAATTGACATTTCAATTAGAACTGACTTTTCTACTAGACACCATTATAGGAGGTTTATACAGTTGGCCTTACTTTGGCCATTCAAATATAGGTTTGACCACAGTATGGTCTTTTTCATTTTATTTTATGACGCTTCCTAATCTAAAGACACTAAAAGGGCATTTTTTAAAATCATATTCAACATGGTTCAGCAGACTCACAGTGGAACAATTGAATTGTAAGTAGGGAATTCAATCCCAGTCCTTATTTCTAATCCCGGGACTTTGGGATTATACTTAGTCAATCCTGGGATTATTTCAGTATTGAGGGTTAATAAAAAATAAGAAAATCTTACAGAAATCAAAATAACAAATCAAAATTTAGACAAAAATTAATGTATTTTACGGTATATACCTAGCTAATTTAATATAGCAGACTTAAAATCACTCAGTCTTCATGTTAAATTTATTCTTTTTTAAGCATCACTGAGATCTCTTTAAACTCACATAAATTGAAAAACCATTATGTAACAAACTATGCAAATAAACGTTGAAAATTAACAAAAATCTCTCTTAACATCGACTAAATANTTAATTTATATTTATTTTCTTTTTAATTATTTACTAGAATCTTTTTCTGTACTGCTTATGTGCACATTAGAATATAATTTGTCGTTAAAAATTTTTTTCTATACATTCAAATTTCTTGAATAGGCATTTTAGATATTCAAACAATCTGAAGGAGTACAATTAATATCTCTCATTTATGCAATATTCTTAAATATTTCAAAATAATAATCTAAATACTGCCAACTTGTAATGAAAGGACTAGTGAAATTTACACTGTATTGGAGATATTGAATTAGATTTATACACATTTTAATTTAATGCTTGCAATTTATATAATTCTTACCTGCTGTTAAAATAGTAATACTATATTGATTCAGTTTACTATGAAAAACTCAGTCGTACTAAAGAGATATATGGTAAATCAAAATAAATACTGGATTACAATAGAAAGACAATTAAAATGGTATCTATAATGTACATAATTAAATATTATATTCTTTCTCCTACTATTTAGCCCAAAATGTTATATATATAAGAATTTATTGTGATTCCATTGAAAGAAATATTTATCTTTTTTAGAAATTATTTTAAAAAGATGATATATATATTCTCAATGCATTCAATGGTGATTTCTCAATATTTCAAATGTCTATATTATCTTTGCTTTCAAAATTCCTGTTGAAATTTTTTTATAAATATATAAAATCTATTCTAACAGTACTTTTGCATTAATTTATTTATCATATTTTATTATTAAAAAATAAAAAATAACATAAAAATAATCTTTTACTTCATATTTAGAGTATGGAATTCATAAACATGATGAAACTCAAATATTTTCAACAAGATTGTATTCTACCGAAGAACGTAAGTTTTGTATGTTGAATAAACCAAATCTAAAAGCTTTTAATGAAAGAAAATTTTATTCCATTTTTTCGTAAAATTTTTAAATGAATTTATTTAGATTCAGTTTGGAAACTTTGGTTGCTGATTTTTATAATTATGATTATGTAAATATGCTAAATGTTTTAACAGTTGGCTTTTTGTTATTGATGTCGGGATTGTGCACTTTGTTGATTTAGTAGCTTAAGTAGTAGACATTCATTGAATGCAACCGAACTGAGACAGACAACATAAATGGTTATGATATTCACTATAAATCCTATGTTTGCAATTCTTCTAAAATCTATATTTTGTTTTATAAACTTTTACATATGTAATACATTGCATGATTTGGAATCAGGAATTTCTTTTAAGTTGAATGTTTGATGATTAACCACCAAGTATTGAAGTATTTAGTTTCTTCTGTGAACACACTTATGATATTAGAAATACACATTCTCACATTTTTCTATTCTATATATCAAATAGGTTTGTAAATTTGTCTACTTTTTTTGAAAAATGGCTGCTGTTTTAGAGTTTAATTTATTATTATGCACTTCATCCTTTGTCATTAAAAATTTTTTATTTCTTTATATCAAATAAGCACACAATTTTTCATGTGTTAATTCAATTTGTAGTGGTGTTTTTGATTACATAAGCATGGAAGAAATAGATATTCATTCATAAATATTTGTTTAAAAAAATCTCTTCAAATGCTACTTAAGATGATGATAGAATTTTCAAATCCTGGCCTTATTATGTCATGTTTTTTAAAGTAAGGAAACAGTACAATAAATTATTGACCCAAACTACAGTTATTTTAAATTTTTTGAATAAATAAATTTAATCTGTAAAAAATTAAAAAATTTAATGAAGCTGTCATAGAAACTCAATACAGACATTTTAAACATAAAGATCAATTTGTTGTAGTAAAGGATTAGTGACTTTTCCATCAATAATCATAGAAAGTGAATGCTGAATAATTCAATTTTGCATGTATTCTGATAATATATTGCACTTTATATTCATAGATTTTAAAAACAGTTTTTTCTTGATTAGTCAAATAACAGATTAATCTTACAATTAAAAAAAAAAGATTATTCTTGTAACTTTCATAAAGCTAGAGCCATGTTTTTGCCACATAAGAGATTTTTTTTACTGGAGAAAGTTAAGAATGCTGTGAAAGTATTTCCACAAATACTGGAATAAGCACACAGAGCAACATATTCCACGTTCTTGTTTAATGGGGTTACATACAAACATAATAAAGGAGTCCCTTAACCCCCTTTCAGGAACACACTGCAAAATGGTGCTCAAGTCATTGGAAAATACATTTTACCTAAGTACTGTACTTAGAAGATTAAGTGAACAGAGCTTACATCCAAAAGAACTGTCATTTATTTAACACTTTTAAGTAGGTTCCATCTTAGAACTTACTGTTCATTTATATATAACTGTTTTGTATGGTTCAAATAAAAATCAAACGATTTTTTAGATTCTAAACATTTCTCTCTAAAAGCATTAAATAAATAACAGTTCTTCTGACTAATTAATCTTGTTGATTAAGTAAATCTTAAAAATTATATTCCTTTTTCATTTTTGATACTCTTGGTACAGTAAAACCTCTGATCTCAAATTCTTAAGTTGGATTGTCAGTTTCGACAAACACATTAGAAGTAAAATGTATGTTATATTATATAAAGTCAAACAAAATTTCGTGTATCTCGATGTTGTCCCTCCTGAAGTCAAACTAGTCACATTCTGCAGGTGCCAACCAACCTATTAAGTTCCATAAATTCTTATAATTATTTGCTTTTCATCCTATATTGCATTAAATCTTTTCAATAGCTATATGTAATTTGCTATACATTTTATGGACTTATCACACCAGAGTTTTCAATTGGAAAGCTCACTGAGATTTTACTGAATCAATTGGTATTGGTTTAAATTAATAAAATCTCAGTGAGCTTTCAGCACGGTTTGAGATGGGAAGTATTTCTGCAGTGCAACATGCAGAAATACTTCCCATCTCAAACCATCCTCAGCTCCAAATAGTTTAATTATAGGAGCATGTCATTACTGCCAGTCCAGTCATTGCCATTGCTCCAATTTTAAATTATTTTTATATCAATTCCAATAATATAAAATAAAAAAGAAATCCCAGATGTAGAAAAGTAATTGGAGACAATATAACTAAACTAAGAGCAGAAATAAAGATTAACATTTTCTTAGTATATATAGATTTTTCTTGAGGTGGTGATAATATAAATGAAAAAGCTTTACATTCTTTCAGATGACAGAACTATTTTAATGTAAAGCAAATCTCTTATTTCATATTAATAAAAGTCTACTGTATTAAGCATTATATTTTCACATATGTAGTAGTAATTATTATTTCTGATTTAGTAAAATTTTAAACTTAGATGTTATCCTTAATGGAATTTCAGTGCATGCTAAAATTGGAAAATAATTTTTATTTTTGACTATGGAGATAATGACTTTTCAAATATATTTATTATTATAAATACAAAAAACGAACTTATATATTGACTTTCTCTGATAAGTACGAAGATTTTTTTAAACACTACCTTGCAGACACTAAGAGGGCCTCTTTTTGCATATGTTATAAGTTCAACCAAGTTTGCTGGGTGATGAGACAGGGCTGAACATAGCTAGGACAGATTACCCATGGAAATTTCTAAGATTCTGATTCAAACTCAAATCAGTGTCTTAACTGTTTTTGATAACACTGAACCAACAACAACAAGCAATTCATTTTGCATATATGAACATCATACTTTGTATAAGTTCATATGAAAACTGTCTAATGCTCTTATGCATTATATTGAAATGCTAAATGAGCCTCTCATTGCTCTCTGGATACCAAAATTAAGACTAAGCATCTGTGTCCCTAAGAGTGACATTTCGACACTTTTACTGTGTTGGCCATCAGGCCATTAATACAAAGATTTTTGTTTTTTAGGCTGCAATTTGAAAAAATTGTATACCTTTAAATTTCCACTGTCATCCATCCATCTGTTTTTCCCTAATCTCAAAAATAGTGTTACATAAATGAAATTACAGACCAGATATAGAAAGCTTAGAAAATTAGGAGGCTCTGATTAACTATATACAAACTTACAATGCAAACCAGAAGGCATGTATTTCAATTTAAAAATTTTCCTGTGAGAAGAATTAGATAGATGACTCCATTGCTAACAGAAAAGTATGATGTACAACACTACAATACTACACTACACTACAGTACTAGTTTGAGTACTAGCAAGACACTACAGTACTAGTTTGAGGTGGAGAGCATATATTTTAAATTAAATAAATTAAAAATATGATTAAAAATTGCAGCTTGGCATTGTGGTGATGTCACAATAAATAATTGCTCATTTTGTTTGTCTTTATTTGAAATTAAATAAAACAATATCATTAACCACTGTATCTATTATGCATTTTCCTAAACCAAGCAATAATAATTTTCCTTAAAATTTGAAAAACATCTTCTTGCAAATTGGATTTTGATCCTGCTTGTTAGGTTGGTTGGCACGTGCAGAATGTGACTAGTTTGACTTCAGGAGGGACAATGTCGCAATACACAAAATTTTGTTTGACTTTATATAATATAACATACATTTTACATTAATTTTGTTTGATAAAATTTAGTTTCCTTTATAGCCTTTCAGAAGAACAACATTATATTACAAGCTACAATTTTGTAATTTGACTTGTCAGCCTACAGTTTGTCAAGTTTACATTTTAATTAATTTTTTTTTTTTGCATAATTAATTTTCTGTTGTCTTGTAACATTTATATTTACAATAACTATTTTTGTTATGATGTTATATCAAATATTAGNATGACTAATCGCGTGTTAATGTAATGTTCTACACTACGTGTACGCACGACTTGTCGCGAGTTCGCCCAAACCACATTGCTTGGCCTTCACGTTCCCAGTCCCAGTACCGGGTCAACTACCAGAGAAGAACGACATGGACACTTGTGCCTTGTATATACAGTACTTTAAAAAGCGTTGCATTGTACTTTGAAAAGCGTGTGGTTTCAATCGCAAAGTAGGTACATATTACAGTATTTTCATAGTATTCAAAAGCAATGATGACAAATAAACAATTTTTATCATTTTTTTAATTGAAATTTTTTAAATTGATATGAAAAGAATAAGAAAAANTCCTGGTGCATAATATAAACAGCACATGTACAGAACTTTGTCTACCAGAAATTTTTTTAATTGAATTCTTTTTGAATTATGTTTAATTAATAAGCTCTGTTTGGTTCTACATTTGATGTAGTTTATCTGTTGATGATTGTTTTTAAACAGATGAAAACATTCATATGAGTAAAATCTGTTGGAATTTTAACTGTTGTTGGTGATAGTGGGTGTCTTTATTACATTTAACCAGTTAGTGTGGTAGTGGATCCTCATCCTTACTTAATTATGATTGTTTAATAAAATATATTTCTTCAGAAAAATCTAAAACATTTATAGAGATGATATGAGGAATAAGAGAGAGGTAAAAGCAGTCATGTAAAACTTTTCAATTCATTGAACTTAAGATAATTTGTAATTTATCATCATTGTCTTTTTGGATTTTCTGAATGATTTAATTTTTTAAGTAATTTTGCTTCCAGTTATGGATTACCCATAACTGGAAGCAAAATTAATAAACAAATTACTATGAGATTTCAGCAAAGTTTTTTTTAATTGTTATTTAGTTAATTCATTATAGAGCCCTATCTGATGATGACCATTGAAGTATGGTTGAAGACAGTTTTATTAAATTGAACTTTGCTGGAATCTTGTGGCTTGTTTATTGATTTTAATTTTACAGAAGAAAAGCAACTGTAAAAATCTTTATTAAGATAATTCATGCAAAATAACTAAAGCTGAAAATATTTGAGTTTTGTGGTTTATGAATTCAGTTTTTGAAACATCAGTATTTTATATCTTAAATTTTACTTTCAGATCTTTGCAGTTTTTGCAAAATAATAGGATGTGTAATGGATCGGTATCAAAATGCTTCTCGACAATGAATAGTTGTTATAGTGTTTCCCAATTTGAATACTCTGTAGATTGAGACATTCTTAATTTATTTAATTTTGCAGCATTAAATAATAGGTTTAAATTGTTTTCTCTTTTTCTCACCAGAATTGGAGAAAAAATCATTGATATCTTATTCAAATTGCTTTTCTTGGAACGAATATTTTATAGAAAATTTCCACTGTTTCAGACTATATTTATCATCTGGAGTTGACAAGAGAAATAAAGAGAAAATTCCAAACCAATATTAGCTTCTGTTGACTGTCATATATAGGCTAAAATACTAAGTATAGTGAGAGTTTTCTATAAATTTTTAGCTCCAAAAAGTAGCAATTTGAATTGAATTTATATTCGAAGAGTTTCTTTAATAAATATGTTGCACTATCTTCTATTCTTGTCACTTTCCTTTCTTATATTTTTACTCCATTTTCTCCATCATTTTTAAGGTTTTTAAATTGCATAAAGCAAAGCATAAATAAATTTGATAATTTTCAAATTATTAAAATTTAGCAGTAGATTAGTTGTCAGTTGGGAAACACTGGATGACAGTAATTATATATAAAAAAATTTACAGTTTTTATATATAATTTTATATATACTTTTTGTTTATGCTTCTTATGATCTTTAGTTTTCAATTTATATTGTGCATCTGTTCAATTACTTTTGTACTTTATAACTTCGGCATGCTAATATCTGCATTTGTCTTTAATATAATTTGATTTTATAATTAGTGGTAATTGTTTGTATCTTAGTATATTTATATGTAAAGAAATTCATACTTTTTTTTATTAAAAAATTGCAATTTTTTCCTCCAATTGATTTCATAAAAAAATTAAATTAATGTATTTTGTTTATAGATGGTTATGCATTTTCTCAAGAAGAGCATGGCGTTGTTCCGCAGGTAAGTCTTCATCTTTTTTTCTATATTAAGTACTTTTATGTCATAAATTTCTAAAATGTCAAATATAAGCTAAACAGTAATATTTTCTGTTATTTTATTCAATTTTATACTGTAAACAAACACAAGAAAAAGACATCAACAAATTTGCACATATTCAGATGGGAATTTGTTTGTTCCTCTGTAATAATGATGCATTTACCATTCCGTAAAATAAAAAATATGCATGTACAGTGAAACCCATACAACACGGGATGCATTCCATGTTATAGGAAGCTGCCTTATATGAAACATGTATTATGTATGAGGTATTAACTCTCACAGTTAATATATATAACACACATTATTCTTACAATGTGGTTTCTTATAACATGGAACACACCTCCGTGTTGTATGGGTTCACTGTATTTATCTTTATCGAAGTTCCAAAATTTAGAAAACATATGGAAAATTTAATTGACATTTCAATTAGAACTGACTTTTCTACTAGACACCATTATAGGAGGTTTATACAGTTGGCCTTACTTTGGCCATTCAAATATAGGTTTGACCACAGTATGGTCTTTTTCATTTTATTTTATGACGTTTTCTAATCTAAAGACACTAAAAGGGCATTTTTTAAAATCATATTCAACATGGTTCAGCAGACTCACAGTGGAACAATTGAATTGTAAGTAGGGAATTCAATCCCAGTCCTTATTTCTAATCCCGGGACTTTGGGATTATACTTAGTCAATCCTGGGATTATTTCAGTATTGAGGGTTAATAAAAAATAAGAAAATCTTACAGAAATCAAAATAACAAATCAAAATTTAGACAAAAATTAATGTATTTTACGGTATATACCTAGCTAATTTAATATAGCAGACTTAAAATCACTCAGTCTTCATGTTAAATTTATTCTTTTTTAAGCATCACTGAGATCTCTTTAAACTCACATAAATTGAAAAAACCTTTATGTAACAAACTATGCAAATAAACGTTGAAAATTAACAAAAATCTCTCTTAACATCGACTAAATAGACTACTTTCATATAACAACCTAGTAAGTAGGTAGTAAAGTAAGTTTCTTAGCAAAAAGTATTTAAAAATAATATTAATCAGTCACATTTTTCTTAAATATAAAGAAAACTAATCTAATAGGAACATTCTAATTTGAATTGCGAAAATATGATCTGAGAAATAACAACGCATCCTGTGTCTCATCACCAAGTCTGCTTCTCAATTTGTTGCACATATATGCAGCTGCTGAGAAAACGCGTTTAGGTTTGATGGAAGTTGGAGGAATCGTTAGTAAATACTTATAAGCCCGTTCTAGTTATAGCTTCGAGGACACGGGGAGGTTGGAAGAAAACAGTCCGGTCGACACAGATCGGGATTGTAGGAGTAAAGGCTACAATCCCGATTGTTTCGATCATTGTAAGCATGCCTTTCTAAAAATAAACACGTTAATTTTGTAAATTCGGTCTCTGTGTGAGTCTCTCAGCATCCAGCAAACCACTACTCCCAAACGTAAAAAGACTTTCTCGCATCATCCTGACAGATCACGGGCAAGGCGGGGGTCGTAACCTTTTCACCTAAGGTCGACCCCCCTAAGCGAGAGGCGTCGGGTCTATATTAACCACACTGGCAAAACAAGATGGCTGACACATTGACAGGTAAAACGCACTGAGTAGTGCTCTCGACTGCGCCAGAAAATCGATTGGCGCCCGCGAAAATTCAAAAATACAAAAATGAAGTATATTACCAAGTAACCCAGTGAGAACTGCTTGCCTATCATTTTAGTTGAAAATACAAGAAGTTTTATTCCAAGCAAGCATCGCAAGCCCGCTAGGTTAATTTCTGCTGCTTGCTTGGAATAAAATTTCTTGTATTTTATATTAAAATGATAGGCAAGCAATTCTGTTAAAAGCACTGGCACTGAACGTTTCGCTTCATGCAGTCTGTTTTGCAACTTTTTTAAAAATGATGTCAATCCCGAAAATCTCAGGATTAGGAAAACTTAATCCTGAAAATTTTGGGACTGAAAAGTGGTAGAGATCCTGGGATCAAATTCTCTAATTTTAAGAGACGGGATCCAATATATTTACATCAATTACCTTTGAAAATATCAGTCTATCCGGACCCAAATTCAGGTCCTCTTAGAGTGATAGATTAGAGCCATTCAGCTAACAGCACAACACAATTTTATAAAAATTGTTTATCTATTAATATACTTATTCTTATTCTTTTTCAGTCTGAAATGATCCGTGCCTACGACACAACAAAGAGCAAACCACAAGGGGTGTGAACGGTCCGAAGATGTTACCATAGGAAAAACGTGTCCCTTTTTTTGGTCATAGGGAATCTTTTTATGCATTCCATTTTGCAATCTTACGATCTGATTGTTATGAGTGTTCGAAAGGTTTCGGATATAGGGTACAAAGTGTTGTTGTTATGTGGCAACTTCTCGGTGCCATTGCCATATGTCAATGTACCTGTACCTCTGTGATAATGTACCTCCATTATTTCGGTGTGACGAGACGATACAGTAACTGCCCTCAGACAACCTTGAAGCTGTCTTCTGGAAGCGTCGTAAAAAACAAATATATATATATTCTTTGTGTTTAAAGTGAAAAAAACGAGCACTTTTTTGATATCACAAAATTGTTCTGTTAACGGAGATTTTAAAATGGTTTGTCAAAATTCGGTTAAAAATAAGGAAAACAAACGAACAGAAAAAAGTCCTTATGCACAGGCGATTTTCACGTTATAGGCGAATTCCAAGTTCTGGCACCACACCACGTTATAAAGAATTTAAAAAAAAAACTGCCGATTAGTTCTTTGATATTGCTGCGATTTTTTGTAATTTATTTAAATAGGATCGCAACTAAAACACTAATAATTTGCGTTTTTCTAGTCACATATGGCGTTTGTTGTTTTTAGTGTTATATACGTTAATGCATTGCGTGTTTCGTTGTGTTTATCTGTTGTGATTTTTCACTTCATCGTTTTTTCATCAGAGGAAGCTTTTACTCTTTCAGAATTTAGAGATGAGGAAGTAAATAAAAATAAAATCTAAAAAAATAGATCCTAGAATGTCAATAAATGTCGGTTCGAATGTTAAACATTTATAAATTCTTTGATATCTCGGTAGTTGGTATTTTTATATTTATCTTTCCGTAAAGTGGCAAATTTCTGTCGTTCACCACATATTCGGTTCTCTGTTGAGAATCGGGAAAAAAGTTTAGGTGTAGTTGTTTGTTACATTTGAATTCGAGGGAAAAAAATGTTAAACGAATTGTCATTTTTTGATAAATGATTGTTAAATGTTTAATTTCCAACACGATCAACATTGTAGCTCCGTTTATTATATTTTGGGTTCGGGAAGTAGTAGGAAATTTTTATAAAAATAAAGAAAAGTATCGACTGAAAATCCGACAGCCATAATAAAAAAGCCTAGGGGATGGAAGATAATTTATAAAAAAAGAAATTATATTTCTCCTAAATATATATAATATATAGCATATGCAGTAATATCTGTAAGTGTTATACGGGTATCTACATCTAGTTATGGCGCGAAGTAACGAGACATTTTCGATTTCTGTTCGTTCGTTACGTACGTAACTAACACGTTACGCATATTCGAGAGCTTATTTTAACGTTGTTGTTAACAAATTTACTCGTTGTTACGATATTCGAAGCGTAATTTTTATTTAATCGAAGCATAATAGTTAACGAACTAAAGCGTTACGGAAATAGCAATTGCCAAATTAAGAAAGTTAATTTCATTAGAAATTTTAATGCAGTTACCCATACTTAGTTTCGAAATATGCAATCGGATTAACAGGAGGTCGATCACTCAACTAATTACCACTATTAATAAACTATTACTACTATTAATACTAATCCTACTACTAACTACTACTACTACTATTAACTTACTACATTGTGAATTAATTTGTGATTGATTACACACCATTGTATAGAACCATAAAGCTCACCGTTGGAATTATTTAAGAAAAAAAACTATACAGTTATAGATGGTATTTTGTACAGTAATTAGAATAGATGTATCATTTCATAGTCAGTTTTTTAATGTAATAAATTATTTGAGTGTAAAAAAATGCGTCACGTAGGTCACGTAGCGAAGAGAACTTTTTATGGTAATTTATGATGTAATTTGCTATAATTTAACCAAAAATCTGATTTGAAGTGGATATATTTTTCTTTACCATGTAAATAACTTGCATTTACATTTAAATGTTGTCGGGTGTTTCGAATTTAATCTCCCAGAAGAGGCCATTCGCCGGGCATTATCCCCTGTTGTACTGTTTATACCTAATTTAATTTAATTTTCTGTAGGTGCGAAAGTTCTAATTAATTAATTAATTAACACTGTACGAATTATTTGTTATCGTTTTAATTTATTGAGAAAAAGGTGCTTTAAGGTTTCTGAGGACAACTTTGTTCATGTTCATCCGTGAAATATTTTTTCCTTCAACACTATTTGCTGTCGTATACTTTTCATGTGTGTAAAATGTTCATATCTGCATATATCGAGAATGTTTTTTCGGTGGGAAAAAGCTTCCTCTCTTATTTCAGAAATAAATTATTCAGACAAAAATTCATGCCTCGTTTATTTCGTGAATCGACATAAACACTTCTTTAGCCCATTTGAAAATGAATGAAACAAAAACTACTGAAAGTTTATCAAATAAATGCGTATACTTTATTGCAAACAAGTTTTCTGAATTTTAAAATAATCGGAAAATATAGGGTGGCAGAAAAGTTTATTAATACTTTTATCTATATTAAAACAGCAAGACGTCCGGACCCGAGTTAACTCGGGCGAGTTACATGATATATATGATATGATATGTTTAAAAGTGTTAGAAGGCCGAACCTTACGGCATAGCCTTTGAAAAGGAAGGATGAAGAGTTTTAGAGGAAATGAGAAGAGGGGAAGAAAAGTAAGGAATGATAGGAAAGTGTGAAGTGGGAACCATGGCGACATCGCGTTCCATTTATTGAGTATACTTTAGTTACAACACATGGGACATAGTCCACAGATAACAGTATGGTCTCGGGCGAGTTACAGAAAACTCTGTTCTTTTCGGCACCGAAAATTTTTATTTTTGGAATGTTTTTTGTCTCCAAATTTTTTCAAAAATTTTTACCCACGCAAAAAAATTTTATCGCGATTTTAATCAACCTTTAATGAAGCGCGATTAACGCTTAATTGATTTTAATGGGATTTTTTAAATCAAATTTAATTAATCGTTCTAAAGTTGTAGTGCACGGATTTGACTTCGGTAAAGTTATTTAAAGCTACTTTCTGATGTCAAAAACGACCTCCAATAGTTTTTTTAATTTTTTAAATTAATATATTTTATTATATATAAGTTTAATTAAATCGGGGGGGGTCGGAAATCGCAATTAAAATTTTAATTTTTTAACAATATTTAAAAATATATGTCCAGCTAGTATTCACCCTACTTTAAACCCTTGTCCTCCCGAGACGTCTATGAGAATATCCCGGGAAATGCGACACCAGACGTTCTCAAGGTCATCCAGCTATGTAAACAATGACTCATCAGTGTCAAATTTCACAGAAAGGCGAGACAAAGGAAGTTAAACTTTGAAGCTTTTTCTTCAAAATTAACGCATTTCTTTCGTTTTTTTCAGTTTTAAGTATTTTTATGCTTAATTACATCAAATTAATTAATCAGTGGGCGGCAAGTGGTTAATTAACTATATAATAGGAAATAATATATTAAGCATGTAAATGACATCTTGATAATTTACGAAAAGGAAAAAAATGAGAAAGGAATATCAAATTATGCGAATAAATTAAATGATCATACAGGTATCCCTCGTATAACACTAGTTACGTTCCGAAAGGTGCCGTGTAATGCAAACTCGTACTACACGAAACAAAGGACTAACACAGTGTTTTTCAACCGGGGTGCCACGGCGCCACGATTGGGGTGTCGCAAAGTTTAGAGCCTTTAGGCATTTTCTTGGAAATTTACTTAAGTGTAGTTCAAGATAACTCATTGTCAGTTCTATTTTGCTACGAGATATCTAGTAAGCAAAGAAACTATGACTAATCGCGTGTTAATGTAATGTTCTACACTACGTGTACGCACGACTTGTCGCGAGTTCGCCCAAACCACATTGCTTGGCCTTCACGTTCCCAGTCCCAGTACCAGGCCAACTACCAGAGAAGAACGACGTGGACACTTGTGTCTTGTATATACTTTAAAAAGCGTTGCATTGTACTTTGAAAAGCGTGTGGTTTCAATCACAAAGTAGGAGTATATTACAGTATTTTCATAGTATTCAAAAGCAATGATGACAAATAAACAATTTTTATCATTTTTTTAATTGAAATTTTTTAAATTGATATGAAAAGAATAAGAAAAAAGTAATGAAATATTTATTTTATACATGCATCAAAATAGTATTAAAAAACTTAAGAAAAATTGTTTATAAATAAAATGATATATTTGATAATAAAACTATATTTAAAAAAACAATAGCGAGACTATTATTTTACATGTAGGTATTTCGACAAAATTCAATGGACTTAAATTTTGATTTTGAACACGTAGAAACACTTTTGCGTTGCGCGTAATATTCGTTTTCGCAAAAAATTCATCTGGCCCATTAGTCCCCTTATTCAGATTCTAGATCCGCCGCTGGTCAAGAGTGTCATGATTTGTTATTTTTCAATTAGGTGTCCCACTCAATGAAAAAGGTTGAAAAACACTGGACTAACACAAAACATGGGGTTAAGGTAAACCTGACGAAAGGCATAAAATAAATTTAAAATTTCAATATTCTAAAATCCGTGGGCAAATTTGAGACAGCGTGCATGATTACCGTTGAATACTTGAATAAAAAAAATATCGAATAACGGAGTTTGCGCTTATAACTTGTGAAATTTTGTATGGGAGATTTTCCAAATTCTCGAACCCTGTTGTACGAGGGATACCTGTGTTAAAAATTTAATAAAAGTGTCAAATCGAGATCGTGCTTTGATTCTAGCGCTCGTAAAAGAAAATCTGGAAAAAAAATCAAGATACAAATAGAATCGGGGAGGAATAAAATTATTAGTCGAGGAAAAAAAAAGTTTTAAATACAGTAACCTTAAAAGGAAATCTAGCGCGGAGATTGTGTGTCAGACTTAAAGAATTCGAAACAATAAATACAGGAGTTTGAAAGTGCGATTAATTTCCCTTGATCGAATAAAACGCGGTGTCGAATTTGACCCTTCGTAGCCTGAAACGGTCTGTTATCAACCTGGTTACAAGAAACCGACCATCCGGAAAGCTATCTCCGGCCCCGGATCTCTATCCGGGGGAAGAATCCTTTAAAGCCTGGATCTCAAGGATAAAGCTGGACTTGCCTCTGTCTCACGTCGTGAGTTATCTGACTAGTCTTCAATATTCCCCCTAAGCTGCGCGGCCGCGCATTGCTCAAATTGTTGCCGCGCACGAAAATTTATGCGCCCATCAGGCGAGCATGCAGACCGATTTGAATTGTTTACTTTCTTCTCACTCTGCAACATGATTATTGCTACATATATTTCGATTAAATACATTAAATCATTGACAAAAGACGTTTATACAAAAGATAATATTTTGTATAAACGTATGTTTTAAAATGAATTTTAATCTCTATAATTAATTATTTTAATTTTCATAGAAAAAAATAAGATTTTATATATACAGTAGACGTGCGACTAAATATCCAGACGGCACAACGCGCTGATTGGTCAGCTGAATGACGTCAACCTACGAAAATCGGTAATGTTGAGCGATTAGCCTAAACTTTGTATTATTATTGTTGTTGTTGTTGTGAGAGCGGGCAGACGTTATATAATAGTTATAGACATTTCATCTAAAACTTAATAAAAGGCACTTATTTATAATTTCACTAGCTATTGTGTGTATTGACATTAATTGAAAATTTTGCAATAATTTTAACATAAAATTACGTGATATCAAAGATTTTAATGCTGAGACATTTTTTAAAAATCAAGAAGTAACTTTTATCTGTTTTGTATTTTTGTAAGCATTTTTGTACATTTACTATAATAATAAAATAATCAAAAACAACAAATGTAAATTGCATATTAAGTTTTTTTTAACATTCTTTATTAGACAATACAGTATTTTTAACCTTACAGAAACTTGTATTTAATGTTTTATATATATATATATAACAACAGAATATGCTAAGTAAAAATGCAGATTAGTTAACAATATATATTTTCACCTAAACATAATTCATACTTTTTAATGCATAATTGTTAAAACATTTTAAATAATAAGTTATTTTTTCTACAAATTCTCTAATCCATTGGTTTGCTTTTCAAATCAAATCCTGTGGAAACTTAAATATAGACACTGGATATATATTTTTCTATGCAACCAGGTATACTGCACATACAAGGCATCTAGAAATAGTTATTCATTAGTATGGTAATATTATTTTAACAAAAAATAAAAAGGATTAAAAAAATAGTTTACTATGAAAACATTACAGTACAAATGTAACATTACTTTTTCCTGACACATATTGATAAACAATTTCCACGATGAAATGTATGGAAATTCTTATTTAAAACATATATAACTATTATATTCAAAGGAATTTAAATACTTACAGTATTATTGATTGTTAAATAATTTATACAAGAATTCTATACTTTTAATTTGAAAAATGGTCATACAAATTTGATTAAACATATTTACATATATATCCATGATGGAACTGGATATATGAAATGTCTGTAAATTTGAAAAGTATTGTTTCTTAGCACATAGATGACTGACATTCAAAAGAACAAAATCTATTGGCAGAAAGAACTGTCAATTTTAACATTAAAAAAAAGTTTCTGATAAGAGTAATCTATGGAGAATATTCTTTATTCAAAATTGTTCAACAACTTTTACATTTAAACTTTATAATTTGTTAAAATTTCTCTTTCAGAGTTATACAAAACTTAATTAATTTTATTGTTTCATCTAACTACAGTATATTAAATGCATATGACAAATTCAAAGAATATTCTGACTTATCTTAATTATAAATTTCATCCTTTCTCAAACTTTTTATGAATAATATCTGTAACAAAGTGTAAATTTTCTGTTATTTATTATCTGTGCACGTAAATTTAAAACACTAATCACACTATTAAAATGATCTATTGTGTATTATTTGGTTCAGAGGTGCATAAAGATCAAGTATTAAGTTAAAAGTTCAAAAAAAAAAAATCAGCTGTATTTTCACTTTATACTCATCACTCCATATTACGACAACTAAAAAAAAAATAATAATCTATTTCGTCATGATCCGTTCTGACGACCACAAAATATAATTTATATTTCGGTGGGTTAACGTCATTCAGCTGACCAATCAGCGATTTGTGCTATCTGGATATTTAGCCGCACGTTACAGTAGAGCGTCGATTATCCGAAAGAATTCCAGTCGGAAATTTAAATTTTCGCCAGTGCTGTAGCGCTGCAATCTTGGGCTACTCAAATATTTTACGTTTTTGATACTAAATTAACTTCTGAAGTATAATTTTTTATTGTTTTTATATTTTTCAATATACA